CAAACATTACTAATTTTTTTGAATAAACAAAGTTGATTGACTTATGTCCAAATCCAAAAGAGGAAAAACAAGTTTTGTTATAATTTTATTTATAAAAACAACTAAAGATTTATAAATTTAAAATTTTAAATTAAATTTAAAAACCCATTAAATTATTAGAAATTTTATCCCAAAAGTTTTTAATAAATTAAAATAAAGTAAAAAATAGCCTAACAAATTTAATTACTTTTTAATTTAATTCTTTATGGGCACCTTAAATTAGATTTCCGTTTGTAATAAATTCAATAATGTAAAATAATACTTAAACATATAATATCAAAATTAATTTTTACATTTAAAAATAAAAAAGAAAGTTCCGCTTCAAAAAAAAAAATTTACCTAATTAATTAAGAAACACTTCTTTATATATTCTTTTCAATAATAGATTACGTTCAGAACACTGTAACAACAGCGATCACAAAGTCAGTCGTACTGAAAATAATCTACAAGAAACTATTTCAAGTCACGACAAAGAAAGAAAAAAAACTAAGAAGTGCGGAAAGAACATGCGAGATCACGATATATGTTCTCAAAACTGATTCTGATTCTACCGCTCATCAACCAAGGCCGTTTCAATATAACGATACGAACATCATCTTCCCCAGCGCGAGTTGGCATCAGAACGTAAGAGATCCTTGCGTGTCTTGTATCGCTATACCGTATATCGCTATATTGTTTGTCTTCTTTCCTAGACGGCTTAAATCCGATTTCTGATGCATCGCCTGGAATGAAAGTCGTTGTATCGGCTAGCCGATACAGGCGTTAAATTGATATGTCTCGATATATCGATTTATAGTCCAGTCCTAATTATGAGTGGATGAATAATTAATTTACAAATTTAAGTTAAGTAAAATAGTAAATTAAATATTATACCAAGAAAAAAATGCACAACTAATAACAAAGTAGTACAAAAAAGCTATTGCAATATATAAATTTAGAATAATACTAAATGTAGCAAAATTAAAAATAAATAATAGTATCCATTTTTTCCCTTGAGTTAACTTTCAAAAAAGTAAAATGGATACTATAATACAATATCATCATTGGCATGACGCCCAGGATGGGCATAGCCTTTTCTAAAACATTTGCCAGTTTATTACTTTATTAGTTTTAAAATCCATGATGAAGGAAATCAACCATCGAAATTTCGGACATCAATTGGTTTGTGTTTGAAAATGTAATTAAGCGGCAAATGTGTCCTACAAACCATATTATGTTATTATTACACCAGTTTCCCTAAACATTTTGTAAAGTTCTATTTTTGTTCTTTTTTTATAGAAATCAGATTCTTTAACTCCGCCAAAATAGTTTGCGAAATTTTTCTTTCACACATGGCAATGTTAGCTCCTTTCATTGGTAGAGTGTAAATTTCGGATGCATAGGTTAGGACTGGATGTGTAATAGTTTTATACTGCAGTAGTTTTCTATCTCTTTTTATGTATATTGATCTAGAATACTAAAATACACGCAAAGAAGGGCCTTAAAATACAATAATTTTGCAATTGTAAAGATAAAAATAAAATAATAGTGGTAATTTATACCATAACTTTTGTTGCACGAATAGTTATAAAAACCCCCATTAAAAGGAATGATAAATAGTTCTGTTTTAGCTTTAAAAAAATAATCATCAAAAAAGTTAAATATATAACAAGTTGAAATTAAAAAAAATTATAAGGGAAGAAACTTAAATGAAAATATATGAAAAGGTCATAAATAACATAAATCATAAAAATATAACATCTTTTAGTGATAATAACAATGTGAAAGAATAAATATAAACTTAATTTTAAAAAATTTATTTAGGTATTAATAAATAATATAGGTATTAATATTAGGTATTATTAGATTAAGAAAAAATTAAACATCAAAGAAAAAACTATTCTTAAAATGCACACAGGAAATGTATTAAACTACAATACTAACTTACTTAAAACTTGTTGAATATAAAATCCAAGAGCTCCAGCAGGTGGATATGGTTAAAAATCCAAAACTAAACAGCAAACTTCGACATACTGTTAACAACCATAAAAAGTCCTAAAAATATTTTTTTTTATTGAGTTAAAAAAATAAACACTAAACATATACAAATATTTAATTATTTATACAAGCTAAACATCTCACTCCCTTGTAAATGTTAATAAATTCAAATACCATGGCACTGTTGTTAACGATCAAAACACACTTAGAGGAGAAATCAATAATAGAGTCCGAATGGCTAATAAGTGTTTCTTTGGACTGAGGAGACAATTAAGATCAAACCTTCTCAAACGAAAAACAAAGTAAAAACTCTATAAGACACTCATACTTCCTGTACTGCTTTTATGGAAGCGAAACTCAGACCCTAAATTCAGATATATCACTGGACACCTCTGAAAGAAAGATCCTCAGAGCCATCTTTGGCACAATTCAAGAAAGGGGATGTTGGCGAACCAGATATAGCTTCGAGCTCTACCGACTCTATAAGCAGCCCCAAATTAAACAAAAATCTGCAGCAATAGGCTGAGATGGCGGTAATAGGCTATGCCATACATGGAGAAATCCTGAAAATCGAGCCATTCGGACCCTCGCCTTTAAGAACCACAAGAGGTCACGTCGCAGAGGTAGACCCCCTACTAGATGGCTCAATGACATCGAAAATGACCTGAGAACCTTAAAGATTAGAAATTGGAAGGGAGTTGCCATGGAGGAGCTGGCATTTGTCAGCTGTTGAGGCAGCCAAGGCCTGCAAGGGGCTGTTGAGCTGACAAAGAAGAAGAAAAAATATCTCACTGTCGCCCCCTATTTTTGATTACGAGAGAGCAAATGTTTCGAACGTTGGAGGTATAAGTGGACGAATGTCGTTAAGTCTATAAATCTCTTATTCGTATAGATGTCATAAATCAAATTATGCCAGTGAATAAAATTTTTATTGCAATATATTTTTTTAAAAATGGTGGAATTTTGAATTGGATGGGAGTGAAGATAATTTTTTGAAGAACTCAGCATATAAGGAAGAAGAAAAATTCATTGCAGAGTGTGGGATTCAAGAATTCCATAAATAAAGTTTTAATATACTGTGTGTAGATAGAAATACTACATATCCTACACATTTGTAACAACACTACATACAATTCCAACAACCTCATATATTTTAAAATTTTACATTATATTTTAAAAACTCAAGGCTGACATTTAAACAGATATTCTGAATTTACTTATGTTGAATTTAACTTGACTACATATTTTTTAACTTTTTAGCAAGATTTGAACTTGCCATGACAAGCATTATCTTCCCCAAGTCCATGTGCATGCTTTTGTTGGGAATGGCTAATATAAAGGAAAACATTGAACATTTTGCATAAAATAATTTTTTTTCACTAAAAAAAATTTACATAGTGTAAAAAATAAGTTTAAATTAGACATCAGCCATTCTCTTAAATAAACTTAAAAAAATTTAAAATGTTATTAGTAAATTTTAAAAAATATTGATTTAACTCACAAATTTTGAGTCTATTTTACTGTTTGAATATGATGAGTAACTAATCCAAGGTCCGAATATCACAGTTCCAGGATGTAGTAAATAGCCACAAGATGAGATAACAGGAGGTAATGTTTTATCAATATAATTTGTATCAAAAGCGAGAGAAATTAGTTTCATAGACAAGAGCATTTGGCAACCTGAAATTTTAATAATAAGAGATTTTAGTACTATAGATAAAATTTCAATAATATAGATATTTCTTAGCAAATTAAAAGAAAAGAGAACACATAGTTTTATCAGAATTTTTTAAAATTAATCAGAAATAGATCTAACTACAAAATAATCATACAAAAAAAAAGATAAAGGTCAAGAAGAATGATCTTACTAACTTTGATTTACAATACCATTTAAAATAAATAGGATAGCTAATATGTTTGGCGAATACATTTCAAACACAAAAAATATTTTGATATTATTAAAGCTTAAAATAGACAATTGAACCCAGAAATGCTCAATAGAAATTCTTTCATTTCTCAAACTGTAACAAAAGAAACGCAGAATAGAGGGTTGTAGGCCTGTGTCCCAAAATCACTTTTCATGTTTAAGAAAACAGCCATTAATACTTTATTTTCATATGATCGAAATGCTTCACTTGACCAGCTATCAAATTAGTGGTCGCAATATTGAGTGTACATTTTTCTAAAGATTACCATCTACAAAAATTATGACATAAATACTTTAAAAGACATATTACAAACAAACCTCAATGATACTTCACTTGCTAAAATAATAACTGTAATAATTTGCTATCAACTAAAGACTCGTATGATATCTTATCTATTTTAATAACTGTTATTGACTGTTAAAATTATAAATAATACTTTTGGTTATCCTGTAAATACAGAACTAATTTTTATTAAATATAATAGTTGAAATCATTGACAAAACTTAAAGAATTAAGCGGAAAATAAATTAATTAAGCGGAATATAAATTAATAAGTAATAAATTAAGCGGAAAATAAATTAATAAGTATTTTTTAAAAAAAATTGAATGAAATCTCTCACCCCTGATACGATGCCAAAGTTTCTTATCAGCAAAAAACAACTCACTAAAAAAAAGAAACATCATTAACCATTTTTTTAACAAATAAACTATGTAAAAAAGAGATCACATATAAAATTAAAACTTACCATGTTGCTAAGAAAAGAAAACAAACTATTGCACAGATAATTCCTTGATATTGCTTCAAAATGCGATGGGTCAGAAGCAATACAACATATCCTACTGCAGCAAATATAAAAATGTAAAGACAATTTCTTCCAAAGAAACTATACAGGCAACATACACCAAGAAAGGATGATTGCAGGTGAAATGTATGATGAGGTAGGAAATCTATGGATCAAAATATCTATATATCAGCAAAAAAATAAATAACAAATAAAAAAAATAACAATAGTATCAATTCTTATTTTTAAAAAGAAAGCATTATTGAAAAAAATAATGTGTATAGGAAATAAAATAAAAACCTATTCAGATCATTTAATAATGTAGGGGAACCTCCAGGAAAGAACACCTCTTTTCATGACCACTTTTGAGAGACCTGGAATTTTTTCCTAGACTTCGTGTAGAAGAAAATCTTTAGGAGAGACCATTAAAATCTCTCCCAGTGACCTGGCAAACATGTGCATCAAATGCGGAAAAAGTAAAATAAGGAAACACAAAAAAACATCAAAACAAAATTTTAAATAAACAAATAAGTAGATTGAAATATATATTCAAAATATATTCAAATGTATTCAAAATATATATTCAAAATATTTGTAAGAGGCTCTTAATTAGAGAGCTCTTTTTTTTTTTTTTTTTTTTTTTTTTTTTTTTTTTGAGGATGCAACTTTATGTTGTCACAATGCACTAAAGATGATACTATTACTGATTTAGTTTCAAAATTGGAAGTTTAATTAGAAAAAAAAAAACTTTTTTTTGAAAAAACAAGCATCTCAAACAAACAAACCTCTACTCATCTTTTAAAGCAGTGTAATATTTATAATATAAAATTAAATGCCAACTTTCAAAAAAAAAACATAATTGTTTACTTGTTTAAAATAAATTAATCATTTATAATTGGTAAACTTGTTTTTACACATAATTATATCAGTTGGGATCATTTTTATAAACGCTAAATTTTATTCATTGATCCAGCTTTTCATGACGTCAACAGAAGTGGCGAAAGTTATAGAGAAAAATCAGAAGCAGTTAGTGGCTTGGAGGAATTTGTTCAGTGAATGGGGTTTGGTCCAAGGACTGAGACACATATTTACAACATAAATGAATGCAGAGTTCTGAAGAGATAAGGATTTGTAGAGGTCTTTACAAATTTTTTGGAATGAGGGACATTCCGGGAGGAAAAGATCCTTAGTGTAGAGTCCTCCGCAATTTGGGAACTCTTTTTGTTTGTCATGTTTGCGCTTAATTGTCGGCATTGAGTGACATTGCCATCAGTGGCGTAGTTATGGGGAGGGTTAGGGAGGACAAAACCCCCTCCGAAATTAAACATTACTTGCTTAATGAACTATTGTACGATAAGTAGGATATCGATAGAAAAAAGTGTTATTATTCATTTTTTTAAATTTAAATGTTTAGAATGAATATATATATATATTGAGGTTCCATGTAGGGCATCACTGGCTGCGGTTAGTGTGAGGGTGGGTGACCACTTGGATCAGTCTGCGCAGGGACAGAGGGTGTGCGGTATTGGTTCTCGTTAAACTGTTCTACCATAAAGCGTTCGATTTCGGGTGCAGGTCGTCTGCTACCACAGCGGGGGTGGATTCCACTCTGCAGAGGTTCAAAATTGTGATGATATGTCTTTGGATCATCCCCGGAGATGTTTTCTAGACCGTTGCCAATAGCCCACTGTGCAGCTCTAGTGCGATGTAAATGAGCTACAACTATACATATATATATGAAAACTAATGAGAATTGTTTTCTTATGCTCCAAGTCTTGTTTTAAAGGTTACAAACCAATAAATCACTTATCTAAATTCTGAAAATATATAACTTTCAGTAATAAAAAGACAAATTAGCTTTTAAAAAAAAAAAACTTTTTTTAAAAACTTATTACTTAATTAATAAATATTCCTTTTAATGAATGCAAGATATAGAACCTAAACTCAAAAACATTTTTAAATAGAATCTTAATATTTTACCTAACGAAAGAGTCAATTTTAGAATGGAACAGAAAAACAGTAGTTTGGCACAAGAGTTGAAACCGTCGTATAATGTGGGAAGTAAACAATCCTTCCAGAGTTCCTTTAACGTGTAATCGACTGAATCATATAACAGATCACTGTAGTCTTCATAAATATCGTCATAAAGATCCTCTCCAGCCAATTCTGGGTCGTAATAATAATCATCCATGGTCCATTTCTAAGGAACAAGAAAAATTTATACAATTAATTTAAAATGTGAAATAATCCATTAAGCATATAAAAAAACATCAGAGCTGACTTAAAACATGTGCAACCAGATCGGTCCTAAAATGACTCACACAAAAATAAAAATCTCAAAAACAACTGTGCTGCATTACAATTATAATACAGAGAGTATCAAAAATATTAACAGTTGACTGACAAGTATTAACAAAACAAAACATTTATTAGATATTATGAATTAAAATTGTTTTATGCGTATTTAATTAAGAGATTACTCATATAATTTTATTCAAAGAATATATGCTTATAAAATGTTGCCACAAACTTTTAGGAGAGGTAAGAAACTTCATAAAAATTGAAAATTGTATAGGAACACATGGCCAAAAGCGTGGATGTTAAAGTTTTCTGGAAAGGGCAGGCTCACTGGACACGCACACAAAACAATAACACAATCAAAAATATCAAAGTGTAATAGAAACTACAATAGTAACATACACTATTATATTTAAACCGAATCAAATGAAAATTCAAATGAACAGAGTCAATGAAGTCACTTTAAAGTCATTATGTAAAGTAGCAAAATCTTATTCAAAGTAAAATTTTAAAAATACCAAATGTGGTTGATTTAAATTTGTCCGTTATCTAAAACTTAAAAATGATTCGGAAAAGCCCTTTTTTAGTTCTAGTTCATATTTTAAGGGACAGAGCTTGACCCCTGATACAGTGCACCCTAGTTAGACCTCTGCCTAAAGGCAACCATGCATTGCTTCTAAGTGAAAACAAGCAGTAATGGAATGCAGAGCACCACCTATTGGCCAATAATTACATTTCAGGTCATGTGTCCCTGTTGTTAGAAGTTTCTCAATCCTAGTATGCCATATACACTGGTTATCATAAATTAAGGAAAATTCACAAAAATCGCGATAACTCAAGAAATTACGCATGGAATTTTATGAAACTTACCCACNCCCCCTGTGAAAAAAATAATTGCAAAAAACATCAATTATTAGAAAACATTTAATTTTATTATTTTAATAGTATACAAAATTTTTAAAATTAAAATTTTTAATGTGAAGGTTGCTGCTGCTTTTTCTTACTTAACAAAATGAATTGGGGGATGGTTTTCAACAAAGCAAACGGGCATATCCTGTTCAACATTCAATCGATTTCGATGTTATGTTTTTATTGTCACAATTGTGGAAAATCCAGCTTCGCAAAGATACACTGTAGCAAACGGAATAATAGCTGCCATAACTCGCTTTGCAATGGGTAGGTAACAAGCAATGGGTAGGCTTCCAAACGTTTTAAAAATTAGGAGTAGTCAGTGGACCCCCAAAATATAACTCATGGACCCCTTAGGGGTTCATGAACCACAGGTTAAGAAACCCTGGCCTAAAGGCAACCATGCATTGCTTCTAAGTGAAAACAAGCAGTAATGGAATGCAGAGCACCACCAATTGGCCAATAATGACATTTCAGGTCATGTGTACCTGTTGCTATAAGTTTCTCAATCCTAGTATGCCATATATTTCCTTAAAGTTTGTCACAACATTTTTGATGTTATTTATATTGTGAATTTTTGAAATTTACCGATATTATTACGGCACGCAAAATTCGAATTGTGGATTCAAGAAATAATTATTTGACACAGTCGTTTTGCGCCAATATTCTCGTTAATCCATGCGGTATATTTAATTCACATGATTTCGACGTCGACCTTTTTTCGGTAGTCACTGCTACGGATTATGCGATCTTTTTATTTTTTTGATGTGATGATTTACAAGATGCGAAAATGGAAATAAATAGTGCGTTTTCTTTTTTAGTAAAATGTGAGAATCTCGCCCATGATATTAGAATAAAAAACTATTACGTATTAATTTAAAAATTATATACAATTTTATTTTATTCAAATAGGGGTTTTTTTGTAAACACAACGTTTTTGTTACGTTAACATTAGTTAGTAACATGTTTATTTGCTACGTATTATTAAAAGCATCTTGCAGAAAGATATATTAGTGCTAGAGAGGTTTATCCCAGAAAGCTTAAAAAAAATTCTGCCACAGGGCCTATGGTTTATGACTAAGGAAATTGCATCTTTAATTACACGAATCGTAAAGTCAACTAAATTAATAAGAGGAATAAATGGACACAACTGTAAATGTTTAAAAAAAGAAACAACATAGTATGGAAAGCTTGAAATTATCATATCTATTAGAGAAAAGATCAAAGTATTTTGACTTATATTAGTAAAAAGAATAATAAATAAGTAAGAAATTCTGTCGTAGCTTAGATGTTAATGGCCAGTAAAATAGATTTGAACAAGAAAATTATAAACTTCAGATTGTGAACTTAAAATTCATCAAGATTGAATTCTGCCCAATTCAATTGAATTGAAGTTTAAAAAAAGTCTTAATTACACTAGAGTATCCACTCCTTTCTTTCGTTTTTATTTACTAGGAAATTCGTGACGAAAAAAAATAATCAGCCTTAAAACTATTAAATGAGTTCCATATGAATTAACATAATTAATGAAATTTCTACATACAGTTCTGTCACTTTAACACATCATGAAACTGTTAGTAAACAAAATTTCTTAAATGTGCCGCATCGTAAACACAAACATAGTTACAGATAAAGAAAAAAGTTTTAAAAATAACACTTAATGATTTTGCATTATTTGCTCGATAAAAACACCCCATAGCTGTAAAAATATTTTTGCCATGTTAGATCTTTATATATTCAGTATATTTAGTTCTATAATGAAAGAAGAAAAAAAAATTCATAAAATACTACCATTTAATACAGACAGTTCTTTCAGCCCCTACTAGCTACGCGCTCATTGGCTGAAACGTAATGCAATTGAAAGGGTTGCATTATTTGGCAAGCAATCGTCTAAATATTTCTTTCTGTAATTTACTGCTCTTCCATCTGTTTAATTTTACTAACACAAAGACAACGCGTAACGTTTTCATAATTAACATATAACAGGACGACAATAAGCATTTTTTTAAAAAGTTAATGTAATATTTAATTTATACAGAATCGATCACTAATATGCTTAAACAAAAACATTTTAATATTTTGTTATTGTAATTTATATTAGGAGAAGAAAGATTTAAGAAGCAAAAAATTACAATAAATTATGTTGATTTTCTTCTTGTTGAATATTAACTTCACTTTTTTTAAAGTCTTACGTGACTGTTACAAACAATATTTATTTATCGCAAAAGAAGTTTCAAGTACACTTTTTTTTTTAAATTGTTGAACTAATAATAATAACTCATCTTTAGACAATTATTTTACTTTCATTTTCATAATTTTTTTATTATTTTAAATATAGATTTAAAATTTTCACAAATTGAAAGAATTAAAAATTTAAGAGGTAACTTTTTTTTTCAACTTAAATCGATTTAAGTTGTGTTTCGACTTTAATAAAACCAATAACCAATGCCTTTAATAAAATTGTAAGCATACTCGGGATCAAAATTTTCTTTAAGCTCTTTTGATTTCTCCAAATCTTACATTTATTTATTTATTAAAAAAAACTGACAAAATAATTTTATATTGACTACTATTACCATTGGGAATTACTTTAATATTTTTTTTAATGATTGATGCTTTTCTTAACTCATTAACTTAGAATTAAATTTTCAGAAGCAGATTTCAACAACATTTGGAGATAAACCACGTGTTATCATATATTTTAGTTATAGTTCTTTAGGTTCTGTGTCAGTTGGTCGTAGCGACAATTCGTTGCGCTCAATTTGTCGCAGTACGATTAATTAATCGTGGTGGCAAGCGACAGTTCATCGAGAGTGGTTTTCATGAAATCTATCTATTTACGAAGACAAAGCTCTTTCGCTGTCCACGAAAGTTTGCTAAATATTTCATTTAAGGCAGCTCAAATGGTGTTACGGAGGCATATAAGGGGTTTGTGATTTGCTCATTAATACTTACAAGGACAAGGGGACGGAGAGGTGTGAGCAATACTCTCGTAAGACGCTAAAAATTCCGCATTTTCATTTTTTTTAAGGGAAAGAGTTGTAACAAAAATATTTAAAATTAAATTTAGAAAGTTTCCTGTTTGCCATTTGCGACCACAACACTCGAATACGCTACCTAGGGAGAAGACCGGTTCCATGTTTAGAGCCTCCTTCTTTCCCCCTCCTCCTCTGTTTTGATGTATGTATGAGACGATATTTCCCTATCCATATGGATGGTGTTTTCAATAGAAATGTAAACAATAACAATCTCGAGCTTGGGACCTACTCTAGTTCCGGTTAAAAAGTTTGCAGCTGCTTACTACATGTTATTCTGATAGGCGATGTTTTCAAACGGATAATTTTGTTTTCAATAAAAGAAATAAATTAGATAATTTCTGAGCTCAAATCTGCCGTATTTCATAAGATATTAATGTTATTATGTAATTCTGGGGAGTTTGGAGTGAAAATTTGTTTTAGTTATTTTGTTATTTATTATTAAAAAAGGTGACATGGTTGCTAGATTTTGAATAACTCGCTTTTTTGGCAGTCTTGATTTGGCCTCTTTCCATTTGTTTATTACTGTTTGTTCGTGTTGCAAGCTGTGCACCATCTTACGTTAGTGTTAACACTTTTAGTATTGTAAACACAAGTATTGTTAGCATTGTAAACATAAGTAATAAGTAATCAAATACATTGTTTGCAAGAATCTCAAAGCACAATGATGCCAAATGGCTTTAAAATACAACTGAAACAGTAACCCGAAGTTTAGGCAGTCCCGAGCTTGCAGCGTTCCCTAGTGTGGAAAACACTATCCATAATTTTTCTGATTTAGATCATCAAAAGTATATTTTGAAGTTTCCATGATGTTTAAATTAAGCACTACGTTTGCAGTGTTGAATTCCATATAGCTTCCCAGCTTGAATTTTTTTTCCAACCGATTTGAAAATCTAGATGGAAACTAACATACTTCTTTCTATGACTATCCACGCGCTAATGATGAAAGCTTGCTATGTGTTGTCATAGGTAAGGAGTTATGCTATTTGTTACCTGCAGCCCATTACGATCGTCAATTAAATGCAGGGCAAGAAAAAGCTAAAAAAAATTCTTGTGGAAGTTTTAGAGGTCAATTGACCATCGAAGGAAAACACAAAATTTTCCAAAAGACTATTCTGCTCAAATTTTATAAAACAAATTAAACGTAAATTATGATTTATGAGAAGTTACTTTTTTCAAATCACTTAAATTCTAAATTTAGATTAATACAGTATTAATCAAAGTAAAAGTGAAAAACAAGGAGGGCAACACCATCTGCTGTTAGGAATTTCTTACATAAGGCAGTGCTCTCCAACTATCGGGTCGCGAACCAGTCCATAGATCAAATGTTGTAGATCCGCCCGAGGAACATTCAATTATTTCCATTTTATTTACTGTGGTGTATTTCTGGTGGATTGTGGTGTATCCCGGGTTTGTGAGATTAGGGTTGTCCCATGTTCCTGCGGTTACGGGATTGTTTCTATGAGTGAGAGGTTAACCGGGAGCGGAGTGACATCACCTAAGGCCCCGCATGTAATTGTATTTCATTTTAAAGGACAATTTACAATTGTTTAAATACAATTAGAATTAATAAATCGAAACAACCTAAAATATAAACCATCAACGTCACTCTTACCCTCTGCAGGCCGAGGTAAAATTATCGAACGCTTAGTAATTTACTTATTTTTGTGGTAATTACTGACCCTGTCTCACTGTGCCAACGTAGTGCATGCAGTATTTAAACAGCTCTTTTTCAGGTTTTACTTTAAAAAATAAAACCGTGCTCTGTTTTAAAACAATATATTATTTCCTAAATTTTTAACCTGTCGTGATAGTTAATTTATCTCACATCATCCAAAAATTGGCAAAAATTAGAATAATTCTCCAATCATGTTTAATTCGACGCTGCAATCTAATCTAACGCAATCTAATGAACGTTTCGAAATAGTTATAAATGATATAATAGTTAGTTATAAATGGTAATAAGTTATAAATGTTATAAAACGAAATAGTTATAAATGATAATAAAACGCTGTGCGAAATTTTGAAAATAAAATTTGAAAAAAGAAAAAAAATTTGTTTAAAACATAGTAAGCTTTTAGCACTTCAAATGGCAGTTTTAAGCAGCGCAGATACGGAAATATTAAATTTCCACTCAAGCTATGCTGATTTGAATGTCAACAAAATTTCATGAGTAATTGGAAATTAGTAAAACATTCTTCTGGGATTTTTAAAAAGGACTTTGATTAAAAAAGGAATCATCTTGCAATGTATAACGTCATCTAAAAATTGCAATGTAAAAATTTGTTTGCTTTATAATTCAAAAGAGTTTCAATTTTTATATAATTTAATAATTATTAAAAATTACTTTTGTACAAACAATTTTTTTTTCTTTTTTTGAATTCTGTACAAATGTTTTTTCTGATTCGCTTAATAAGTTCTAGAGTGATGGCAATATAAGCAAAATGTTAAATTAAAAGTCTGAAACTCGAGCGCTCTACTAGGCAAATTATTTAGAAATCAGACTATGTGGATAGTCCTTATGATTTGAATCAACAATCTGAATGCGTCGTAAAAAAAAAGGGTGTGGTTTTCTAGAAAAAAGAAATGTTTTCATGTGATTTCATAACTTGTATATCGTCAGTAATTAAATTATCTATGAAGTTTGCTTCTAGAATCATAAAGATTGTATCGTGTGCGATCCAATCTTTAGATCGAAAATTTTTGGAGTAATCTGTTTTTTATTTTGTTTTAAAATATAAAAAAATTGCTTGCTTGAAATATTTACTGCTCGTCTCAAAAGCCTGAGTTTTCAGGATTAAACGCCTAATATATGTTGTGAAATGTGTATGTGTTTTTCTTTTAATTTTAATAGCTTTAATACTTTGTTCCTTTTTTTTTCTTTTTTCCCATTTAACGTTGTTTTTCGAAGCTCTGTCACAAAGGAAAATACAAAAGCCATTGTTTTAGTGCCTTACACTTGAAGTGCCATATGCTTGATTTAGTGCCTTATACTTGATGATTTTAAGTTATATATATAATCTTGCCGTGCAGAAATATCTGGACTTTAGAACAGACATCTAACTTTAAGTTAAAAGTTATTAAACTTTTTTAAAAATCGTCAATTTGGTGACTTTTTCCACCTGGAAGAAAATTATTAAAATCACTGCCTTATTCTTAGTTTTTGCAAATTTCTATAAGTCCAGGTAATGCAGCATTGGAGAAAGTTCAAAAATATTAAAAGATTAGACTGCAAATACTTTCATTTTCTCAAAACTGTGACTTTCTTTTTACCATATTGACGTTTTGCGCCATTTTCATAGACAGCGGTGACTTTAGATAGGCTAAACTTGACGTGATAGACATGAGTAACAGTTACAAACTCACAGCAGTTATAAAAATAGCATTATATATCATTTTATATCACGACGGAGCCTTCGAAAAACAGCCTTAAATAAATTCAGGAATTACGACTTCGAAATAGAAATAAGATAAATAATAATAACCAAAATAAATACTTAATGGATGGGTGATTGTGTAAAGCTAAGGGTGGTGGCGCTAGTGGTAAAATTGCTCTTTCAAGACTTCCGGGTTACTGCTTCCGATATATTTTTACGCCGCAGATTGAAAAAACGCGCCATCATATTACTGCATCATATCTTTTGCAGTATTTCACATGTACCTAGTTCTTTCTTTCAGCCTTTAAACCTCAGCATTATCATATTAATATTATAATCATTAGAATATTTTCTAATTAGGCTATCTTAAGAAGATATTTTTAAAGATATTTTTGGCGACATTTTATTCAAATGTAGCCAAATAAGGGATAAAATACAAAACATGGCAAACCTTAAGAATTATTCACAATGAGATATTAACTTTCCAAAATTTTTTTTGGCCTTACGACCTCTGAGAAACAATACATTTCTGAAAGCTCTTATGAATGGTACAATTATGTTTAGATTTGAACCCAAATTACAATAACAAAACTGCATAGAATATTGGGCTTGTTCACACATCGATTCGTAGTCATAACATAAGCGGAGGGATACACCGGAAATTTTCTAAATTTCTTCCGGTTTAAGGACGCTTGTTATTGTTTACATTAGACCACCTTTCCATAGAATCATAAGTTGTATGCAAAGGGTGTAAGTTAGCAATTTAAATATAAATACATCGGATGTATACATTTAGTATAACAAATTCAGGTAAATAATCATTTCTTCGATATAAGGATAAGAGCTAGAAGAATCGGAACTTTAAGACTTATGTTAAATTTTAATTTTATGTTAAATTTTAATTTTATGTTAAATTTTAATATATGTTAAATTTTAATTGTATCCGATAGGAAACGATTATAGCTTGTAGTCTACCATAAAATGACAGTTAAAATCTCAGTAATGTTTTAAGTCGGAATTTTAATTGACGATAAATTCTTCTTGGCAGCGAATTTCTGCAAGTAGCGATTTGAAGCTTTCATTGTCACATAGAATTGAGTTCTAGTGAAAAATTGAGCATTCTAGCTAGTTGGAAAAGGTTTGGAATTTTGTTTGATGATAATAAAGGGATTAATTATGCTTGTAGTGATAAAATGATGTCGTCTACTGTTCAGCACAGAGTTTCAATTGAAAGTTTAATGTTCTTTTTCTCTTTTTTTTTAATCTTACAGTGGTAGGAATTTTATTGAACGGAAAAAGTTTTTAGACAATATAACAATATATCGATAAACTTTACTTCTAGCAGCCAGAAAACGATTAAAACTATCATTAATGTAAGAATCTCCAGGGAACGTTTTGAGTGCTCTAGCTAAACAGAAACTGGCGAAATTTGGACTGTAAGATACCATATATATGTAATAACAGGGTTACAACCCTGTTATCAGTGTTGTATTTAGCTTGAAATAATGCAGTCGTAAGCCATCAGACGTTCTAAACAGGTTTATTTAAATGTAGGCTGGTATTGATAACAGTTCACATCCACACTCCCTACGGGAGGGACAATTCCGGAACAGCTTATCAGGATCACATCATGATGAAAAGGACACGAAAAACTAGCGTTCTTAAAACTAGCGTTAAATCTATGTATTCCACCAGTTTCTTAATAATCAAGGACTTAATTTAAGACTTAAAACTTTTAATAACAAGCAAAAAAGGCAATAATAAGGAAAAATATTATTAAGAAGGGATGATAATTAAAAAATGAAGGTGAATGCCGATAAATAAGGAATAAATGGATAATTAACCTGTAAATATTGTTAACTTTTGTTGATTTTTATGCTAATTACACTAAAAAATTGTGAATTTTTATTTATTTATTGTTATTATTTTTTTTATGCAATGGGAATGCACGAAACGGTAAGACGACATTTACCTTTTCCCTAAACTTAGAGATTACAATAATTAAATTTAATGTTGCTATTTCAAATATAATATTACTAATATTCTGCAAAAGAATATGCATACCAAAAAATGTCTCCTTTTGCGAATAATAATTTATAAAATAACTGTTTTTAATACCAATAACAAAGTAAGGTGATGAAAAAAAAAAAGTTTTAATACTGGTCAAAGGAAAATTAAGTGATGAAACTTTGATTTAAACAGGTTCAATATATTTATTTTAATATAACCTATTAAAATAATTAATTTTGAAATTAGGTATAACTAAGCCAACTTAAATATTTAAATTATTTAATGGTAAAAATTCCAACGTTATTGCATAAACTATGGCAAAGCTTTCTAGTATCTTAACTTTTATTAGCATTTTATGTCAGCTCAAACCTTATTTTTTTCTATTTATATTTTAAATAACTGAAAAACGTTTGAATGTAATAAAACCATATCTTTATAAAAAGAAATATCTATATCTCAATGCATAATTTTTTTCAAATAAATATAAAATCTTAGATAAATAATAGATATTTATTAGATAAGATAGATAATGTTATAAAATTTATTAGATAAGAATCTTAGATAAATAATAGATTAGATAAATAATAGATATTAATAAAATAATAGATATTTATTAATTTACAGTAATTATAAATTATTCTCTTAGACTTTATATTACTTAGTGTTAGACAAATAAAATAAAATTTTAAAATGAATATTAAAGGGATTATTTTCTTTTTAAATTACTTTGAAAAACTATTATTATGTTTAATGGTGAATTTTTATCCTCCATTTATACCCATAGGCAAGGCGGGAAAAAATAAACCAAGAAATAAGAGTGAAAAAAAAAAAGCACCTGCTTCCTTTGGCCACAACGACCGGTGAATAATCTCGCCAAGTTGGCACGCATAATATCAGTCGTCATCCAATCGTTTGAGGAAATGCTTGGTATTATGACTGACGTTAAAACCTGCGCTGTCGATCTGGTGTGTTTGAAATCGTGATTTGATGAGATCGGTAAACAAGTGGGAAAAGTACACAAAAGGTGTCACAGGCATCTGTCAAAGTGTATGATATTATGATATACCATGTGCTTTTGTTGATGTTCTTTGATGATTGCAGTGTGCTGTGAAATATTACAATAAATATTGAGTTGTGTGATTATTTCGGAATCTAATACATCGATTGTTTTGTGACTAAATAATTCTTTCTCTGCTGTTTCGTCTCTTACGGATATTTCAGTGCTCTACGTGAAATGCGTTTGCTGGAGTTTTGAAGAGAACAGGTTTGTTTATTTTAAAATTGTTTTCATGTTTTACCTTCTAATTAGGAAAAACTTAGAAAGTATATTTTTAAAATAGCTACATTATTTTTTTAACCTCATTGTTGTTACAATTGAATTGGCCTTTTTTTTAAATATACTTTGCTAATATTGCTACACTGGCTTACTCTTCGTAGTATACTTTATGAATTATGTAGATATATATAAATCAATCACTTATTTGTTATTTTAAAAAATGAAATAAACTATCTTAAAAAATTATACCATTATTGATTTTTTTTATTAATTATCTATATTATCATAACAATGCACAATGAGAGCAATTTTAAGTTTCTCTTAGATAATTGTGAGATTCTTTCATTTAATAGCATAGCATCATGTAAATTACTTTTTAGGTAATTCATTTAAATTACTATCTAAATAATTTGATGTCTAAATAATTGTGGATATGTATAACTGATAATGATATCATTAGATAATAAGATTTCTAATTAATGTAAAGATTTTAGGATATTTTATTTCTTTTTAAAACTTAAAAAAAAAGGAACGTGTTTATTTTTTTGATAAATAAACAAGATAAAACAAACCAACTAGATTTTATACAAAGTTGGTTACAGTCTATTTAATCTTAAAATTGCAGTTTTATAATAACCAAGTGTAGTAACAAAACTTGTAAAAAAAATTTTTTTTTAAAAATTATGTTGTCTTGTTTATTTTGTGTAACAGCAAAGTTAAAAAAATGAAGCGTAAAGGAACATCACTCATTTTATCTTGCTAAATTTTTCACTATTATTTTTGTAGTCCTAATTACTTAGTTAAAAATATTTACTTAAGAAAATACTGAGCATTTGTTGACTATTTAAAAATTAGTCTTCCTTCACTTGTAGGCTGAAATTATACAGTAAATATTTTTGAAAATAATGAATGCAAAAACATTACATTTGAAATTAAAATAATAGAATTAAATCGCAAAAGAGTTTTGTAATTGTAATAAACAATTTAAAATATTGATTCAACTTTTTGGTGATTCTTCTACATCATGTCTGAACTGATGTAAACTAAATTAAAACTTGAAAATAATGTATTTGGATTTATAGTTAAGATATTAGTTTCTTTTTAATGTTTTAACGAAAGAAACTATTAAAATTAAATGTTGCTAAATTTTGAGAACTTGATGTTTATAAATAGCTTGGTTTGCTCTGTTATGTTTTATCTAGATAAATTTCTCTTAATAATAAATTAACTAAAAATAAATTATTTGTATGTAATTAATTTATTCATTATATTTACATCAGAAGTGGATATATGAATTTCATTACTTACTTTAATCCGCTAAGACAATCAGGTAAAAAGATTTCTTATTATTCATTTTCTCATAATATAAATTCCTCTTATCCTTACTAAATTTTTTCTTATCCGTACAATTTCTATTATCCTTACTAAAAAAGTTTTCTAATTGTAGTGAATAATTATTAATGTTAAGATGCATACTATGGACTTATTTTTAGTTCTACTAGCACTTAAAATCATCATGGTTTAATTATCTCCATATTTTATGTAGTATATGTTTGAGTTATTTAAATCTAGAGATGCTTGATATCATTTAAATTAAGTTTATTTGGTACTTTATTTAATTCGCAGTATAGCTGCACAATGGGCTATTGGCACCGGTCTGGGTAACATCACTGAGGATGATCCGAAGACATGCCATCGCAAATTTTGATTCTCTGCAGAGGGGATGGCACCCCTGCTTTGGTAGTCCAAGGACCTGCGTGTGAAGTCGAGCACGTTACGGTAGAACAGTTTTATGAGGACCAATACCGCACACCCTCGTTCCCTATGCAGGCTTATCATATGGTCACCCACCCGCTTACTAACCGCAGCCAGTGATGCTTGACTTTGGTGTTCTACTACTCGACTTATTAACCTAGAGTTATTTGTTAGTACTAATATATAGAATGTGTTTGCTTAAAATTTAGAAGCTCTTTTTTTTCTCGTTTAAGCTATGTAATTAAATATAATTAATTATAATTAAATATATTTAATTATAATTAAATATATTTAAAGTGATAGCTTGACAAACTTTCACAACTTTTGGTGAATAGTAAGATTTATTTTCTATTAGAAATTTATTTATTATTTATTTATTTTTAATTTACTTATTCCAGGACTGGCAAAGTTTAGGACACTATGATAAAATCCATGTTTTTTACCACCAAGTCTTAAAACTTTTCTGTTGACCACTCTAAACTTATATGCATAGCTAAATTTTTGCTGAAGTCTAATTTTGTTTAAGCTATGATATAAGTTAAAATTTGTGATTTACTATAATACAGTATTAATATCTTATTTATTAAACTATTAAATAAATATTTATATCTTGAAATTTATGTTTATTAAATGGGGAAAAACAAGTGATTATAAAACAATTTGTTTTACATGTTTTGTATTAAACTTTTAAAACCTATAGTTTAATTTTATGTGAACAATGCTAAATGGTTATGAAATTAGTAAAAGACCAAAATAGCTATTAAAAAACTTTCTAATTATACTGCTATTATTAATTGAGATCTTTTCTTTGAAATTTATTTTAAGAAATAGCTGGTTTTGTTTCAATTTTTTAAAACTGTATTGAATTTTAAATGCGAAATTTTACAGCAGTTTTTATAATATTCACATTATGTATTATTAATTGTAATCATCTGCGTAAAGCTTATTAATTAAAAAAATAATTTACATCGTAAACTCTTAATCTTTAAATTTATATTGAAGTAATAATAATAGAAAAATTGCATAAATATGAAATAGTTTATTTCAATCTTTTTGCCTTAAATTGTTATAAAACATATACATTAGTTTCATGTGAGCAATGTTAAACAGTTCAGAAATTTGTTAAAAGTCCCTGTTAGGTAATATATATATATATATATATTGAATTCATAATTATTTTCCTTTTCAGTAGATTAAATTAATTTTTAACAACGCGTGAATTATAAATGAAGTCTTCGTGTACGATCGATTTATTCTTAAATACCAATTGTAAATGTTGATAACTAGATATATATGTTAGAGACATGAAAATAAATGACTTGATTAATATACGCTTCGACAAGTATTTATTACATGTGTTTGAAATCTTTTAATTCATTATAGATTTGGTTACTATAAGGATTATTTCGTTTTCTCTTTTTTCCACTCGTATCTTCATTCAATATTTAATTCTTTGCAACAATATCTTTCATAACATTGCATAAATTATGTTAATAAATANTATTTCATTAAATAAATATTTAAAAGGAATTATTAGTCAGATATTTATTTTCATTTATCAGATCTTTATTTTATGCCTGGTGGTCATATTTGGAGTTATATAAGTATTTTAAACAATCTCATAAAAGTTTTGGACTATAAGTCACACATGTCCTGTCCAATATCAGTTTAGGACGTCTAAAACCCAAGCATGATTTATTTGTTTATTTTATGGGCGCAATCGATTAGCAGTGACTGAATATTATTTAAAAACTATTGTCTAATCTAATGGTAATAGCGATTTTCAGATTAATGAAACAAGTAATGAATTATTTATCATTTATTTTATAGTTTACTTTTAATAATTTTTTATTCTATATATTTATAGTATAAGTCACCATTAGGAGTTCTTAATTTTGAGTTCTTAATTATATATTTATAGTATAAGTTGACATTAGGAGTTCTTAATTATATATTTATAGTATTAGTTACCATTAGGAGTTCTTAATTTTGAGTTTTTAATTATATATTTATAGTATAAGTTACCATTAGGAGTTCTTAATTTTAACTGCATAGCTAGCGCTCCGTTTAGAAAAGATTAGTCATTCTTGTTACTCATTCTTCTCCCTCGGAGTTCCCTAAAGTGAAGATGTAACCAAGGGAGACCACTTCTTTCTTGTTACTCTGATCCGGCGAAATGAGATTGATTAAACAAAACAGTAATCAAACAGTTAATGTCTTATAAGGCTTTTTCTATTCACGCCTGTTGATATATTTTAAATTTAATTTCGTTAATTAAGTATAGTGCTAATATTTATATGATAAATTTTTTGAAAATAAGATAAATAAGCATGCTACTTAAATGAACCAATGGAGGTTTTATTTTCATTCTTTTGCACCTTACTTAGTTTGTAATACTGTTTGATCAACTTATATAGAGCATTGTCATTCGTTCGCTAAAGTATAGTGCGGCATAGTCGATTATGGCTTTTACGCGCTTAACATTTATATGTTTAATTAAAGGACCACCAATGATGATCAAGTTACCAATTTTTTTAGAAATAAATAATAAATTAATAGATACATTTTACACTTACAATGCTTGAAGTTTAAATCATAGATTATGGGTCGAGTATTTAACAAAATAATTAAAATTGCGAACTAATACGATGCAGATTGCTCAGTAGATAAACATGAATGAAAAGAGGTCTTTCGTTCTTTGAATGTTCTGAAATTCGAAATATGTATTCTTGAAACGTTCCAGAAAGTAGAATTTTTTTAAAATCGTTTTTCTTTATTTCCGCTTCTCTCCTTTTGTCTCGTAGTAGAAAATGTGTAAATAATTTCTAGTTATTAGTAATAATTACAACGCTTGAAATTTAAATTCACATTTTATAAGTGTGCAGACTGACCGTGGCTACTGTACCTGCAATGTAGTATTCGAATTTTGAATTTTTAAAGAATTTTTTAATAAAATTATAACACTAATTATAATTATTCAATTAGAGTTTTCAGCCATATCATTTCATATAAGTAGTATGTTTTTTAGAATGTATTTATTTGGTTTATGAAACTTAAGTATCCAAAGTTATTGTCGCCAATTTAATCAAAAAAATACTCAATTAAAAAAATTAACACGCAATCTTTCTGAATAAAATCATTTATCCATAACTATTATTAACAAGTATTATAAACGTATATTGTTTTTTTTATTGCTTAAAATCTGTAAGGAAAAATTATCTGAAGTTTTTCTA